AAAAAAGTTAACTGCATTTTCCAGATTGAAGCGCCTGAACATGATGGAGAAGTGTTCGAGTGTGCACCAAAAACTGGAGAAATGCGTATAGCTAAGGTGCTAAATGCCGTAAGAAAGAAGAAAAATCACGGGCACGGCGTACTAAATTTAGCTTTCGACATGCAAGCGGATACTAAGGTTTTTTTTTTCTAATCTATGCTAATCAGTTCAGTTGCAGTTTTAGGCTTCCGCTTTCAGAAGTTTGAACCTGGTCAGCGGATAACGGCGAGAGTCACCCATGTTGACCTCAACCCACTGTCGGTGCAGTTCCATCTCGCAAATGGACAACTGGCGAAATTGTGCGCTACGGCCATTGCAAATAATTACGAAAAAGTCTATACTCATATAACACATTTTAAACGAAATGGTGTGAGTTTCTGGAAAACTTACGCTTTATCTTCTAAGATTCGAAAGTTTATTTTCTTGTTTCAAGATATTTCGACTTTACGCTCTTCGTCAAGAACTTAATCCGTTGAGGAATTATGTAGTAGCAGAAGGAAGATATGAATCTTATCTCAAGCAAAAGGAGAACAATGACATTTCCGATCGCAGGTCTCTGCTAATAAATCGAAGTGATGTCCAAGTAGGATTTACGGTTAGTTTACTCATTTCGTATATCTCTCATGTTTCTCATACAACTGCTATTTCTTGTAGTGTGATGGTTTCATTGTCAAACACACCCCAGATGCTGTTGTTGTTGAGATAGGACCAGGGATTGTGGGACGATTGCGGAAGGTGTCGCACCCGTCAGTGCTGCTTCAAATCCTTCTATATTCTATCAAACTATCCTATTACTATTGTAGGGAAATCTCAACGACTCCTCTTAACTCAATTGTTACCGTGAGAGTTCGTAAGATTGATGCGCAAGGTCTAATCTCTTTAGCTCTAGTTGCCATTGTAACTGAGGCGCCAACAGCAGTAAAGGTATGCAGGCTCTTTCATTTTAGATCTGATATTCAACTATTTTGCATAGCATAATGTGTTACCATTCTTTAAGGACCGGAAACGTGTTGCTGATAAGGAAGATGTTGTTGTTGCTAAGAAAGATAAA